GTTTGGAAGGAAGCTCAGGATTTTATGAAGCCGAAGCAGGTGATTGCTGAAGTCCTTTCTACCTCTAATTAGTCTCAATATGTTGTGCATTAACCTGCAATGATAAACTATTATTACAAAGATGAACGTAATCCTGGTATATAGTCACAACTGTTAAGAATCCTACTATACCCTGCACTGAACAGAGTCTTGCTTGCCTATTGTGTCCAGTTCATGACTGTAAAGGGCTTGGAATGAATCCAGGGGAAAGTAATCATTTCCAGCGAAGAAAAATCGATTTTGAACTTAGGCTCTTATGAGAATTTGCTTAAGATATTTTAACCTGAATTGGCTCATCATAGGCCATGTCCATACATTTAAAAGGAATGGCCTGCAATGCAGTCACTCCATTCATTTTAGCCTTCTTAACACTCAGTGTAGATGGCTGCATGATCTATTTGGCCTGCTGATCAGTATTGATCATGTGGATACTTCAAAGGAACAGTGCAGCCAGGCCCCTGTCCAGTTCACCAGGACCAAGGAGACATTGTCTTAGACAAACATCAGGAAGAGGGGCAAGTGGTCTATGTATTGCCTTGGGCTCGGAAAACCAAAAACCAAAAACAATCAACCAGAAGCTTCATGAAGGCAGCCAAACAAGGTTTGCTATTCCGGCTTTGAGTACTGAGCAACCAGAGTCATGTGAAAGTTTCAGTTCTGGCATTGCCTTATGCCAAAAGTACTCTCATCATGTTTCCCTACAGATTTCTCCTGCATCAAGTAGGTGTGTAGATGGCACAACATTCTACCCAATCAAGATCAAAATATGGCAGCTGGGGGTACGTTGAGATGCAAATTTCAAATTAGGGCATAGAGAATCACTATTTTCTACATACAAATTTTCTACATACAAATAGGGAATGTGTGTATGTAAAAACTCTAAAAATAGCCAAGATTCCTTTGCCTTATCACAATCCACTTGCTTCAAAGTGATATGCTCAGTTGGAAGTTTGCTTGTACTAATCCATTTAATAGGATCACAAGATCTGACATTCTCCAACTCTTTCACTGTACAGATAACAGTAGGGAAGCCCAGAGACAGTAAGGGATTGGTCCAATCCCACCTGAGAAATTTACTAGTTATGAGACTCTGGGAAAGTCAATTAGCCTAAGAAATAGAGTGGTGGATCAGTGGAATAAGTTAAATATGCAAGACACAGTAGTCAATGACTATAGTAATCTATTATTTGGTAAACCCAAAGACCCCAGATTCTGGGATAAGAAGCCACTCTTTGAAAAAAACTGCTGGGAAAACTGGAAAAGAGGATGGCAGAAACTAAGCATAGGCAAAAATCTCACACCATATACCAAAATAAAGTCAAAATGGGTTCATGATTTAGATATAAAGGCTGATACTATAAGCAAACTGCTTAGTTTAGTATAGTATAGAGCAAAGAATAGTTTACCTATCAGATCTATGGAGAACAGAAGAATTCATGACCAAACAGGAAGTAGAGAACATTACAAAAAGCAAAATGGATAATTTTGATTGCATTAAATTGAAAATTTTTTGCACAAACAAAACCAATGCAACTAAAATTAGAAGGAAGGTAGAAAATTGGGAAATAATTTTTACAACCAGTCTCTCTGATAAGGGCCTCATGTCTAAAATATATAGACAATTAAGTCAAATTTATAAGAATACAAGCCATTCCCCAATTGATAAATGGTCAAAGGATATGAACAGACAGTTCTCAGATGAAGAAATTAAAGCCACCTATGGTCATATGAAAAAATGCTCTAAATCATTATTGATTAGAGAAATGCAAATCAAAACAGCTCTGAGGTACCACATCACACCTATCAGACTGGGCAATATGACAAAACAGGAAAACAATAAATGTTGGAGAAGACATGAAAAAATTTGAACACTAATGCATTATTGGTGGAGTTGTGAAATGATTCAACCACTTTGGAGCATAATTTGGAACTATGCTCAAAGGGCTATAAAAATGTGCATACCCTTTGACCCAGCAACAGCACTTCTAGGGCTATATCCCAAAGAGATCATACAAATGGGAAAAGGACCCACATGTACAAAAATATTCATAGCAGCAAAGAATTGGAAATTTTTTGTGGCGGCAAAGAATTGGAAATTGAGAGGATGCCCATCAATTGGGGAATGGCTGAGCAAGTTATGATATATGAATGTAATGGAATACTATTGTGCTATAAGAAATGATGAGCAGGTTAACTTCAGAAAAACCTGGAAAGATTTGTATGGTCTGATGCTGAGTGAAATGAGCAGAACCAAGAGAACATTGTGCGCAATAACAGCCACGTTGTGCGATGGCTAATAATGATAAGCTTAACCCTTCCCAGCAATACAAGGATCTAAGACATCTCCAGAGGCCTCGTGATGGAAAATGCTATCCACATCCAAAGAAAGAACTATGAAAATTGAATTGATATTTTTTTCTCTTCTGTTGAGTTTTGTTTCCTCTTTCTGATGGTTCTTCCTATTGGTTTTAATTTTTACATACAACACCACTAATGTGAAAATATGTTTAATACGAATGTAAATGTATAGCCTATATCAGATTGTGCACCGTCTTGGGGAGGGTGGTGGGGAGGAAGGGGGAGAAAAATTTTAAACTCAAAAGCATGTGGAAGTGATTATTGATAAATCAAAATAAATTAATAAAATAATAAAAACAGAAAGTCAATTAGCCTCTGTCTACCTCATTTTCTTCATCTGGAAAATGAAGATAATAACAGTACCTACCTCCTAGTGTTGTTGTGAGGATCTAATGAGATAAAATTTATAAAGTTCTTGGTAAACTTTAAAGTGCTATATAAATGCTAATAGTAGTAGTAGTGGTGGTGGTGGTAGTAGTGGTGGTGGTGGTAGTGGTAGTTGTAGCAGTAGCAGCAGGTTCTATGATTCTGAATTCTTTCTTTAGACTTTACTCTTTTTTTTAAGCATATATATGCATATACATTTACATATATGCAAATAGATATGTGTATATTATGTAAAATTTACATGTATACACACAAACATATGCATATATGTTTGTATACGTATGTATATATATACATGTCTGTATGTGTACATGTCTGTGTGTATACATATATGCATATATATCCTAAGGATATATCTATATCTATCATCTATCTATTTATCCTCTATCTATCTATATATGTATCAATCTATCTATCTAAATATATATATATATATATATATATATATATATATATATATATACATATATATCCTAAGAACAAATGATATGCCATGTAGACAAAATGTTTATGTTGATAAAAATATGAATGACAACCATAATAATGTAACAGCTAACATTTCTATAACTCTTTAAGGTTTGCAAAGTATTTTACATATATGATCTCATTTGGGCTATTGAAATAAAGTAATAGGAAGAACAGATGAGTTGTCCCTCAAGTAGATGCTTTCTGTCCCATGGGAAGCATCAATTAATCAAAGCCCAAGGATTCAGGCAAGAGAAAAGCTGTAAGGCAGAGCACAATTATTCAGATTGCATTACCTTACATTCAGGTCATAATAATTTGTAAGTTTCAGACCCAGAAGCACTACCCATACCACGTGTAACAATAGTACCTGTTTACATAGTGTACTAAGTTTTCAAAAGACTTTACAACAAGCTAAAAGGTTAGTGGTACCTTGACAAGCTCCCCATTTTCCAGATTAAAAAACTGAGTTTGGAGGGGAGGTAATTAATTTACCCTAAATTACCCGATTAAGCTAGAGACAGGACTAGTATTCAAACACAGAGCTTCTGTGTCCAAGCCTAGGAGTCTTTCCCTTTTCGAAGGCTGCCTTGAAATAAGAGCATATTGTGTTTTATTTCCATGGATGATTCTTTTCTTTCTGCTAAGCTTCGTTTTCCATTGTGTTATGGGACTAAGTACTTTATTTTTTGTTTTATCTCATGGTGTCCCTTCTATAGAAACATGAAATGTAGCTCAGTATAGGTGATCTACTTAAACACTCTTCAATAAATCAATCAATAAGCATTTATTAAACGCTTACTATATATCAGGTACTGCAGATACAAACTTGATAATGAAACAGTTTCTACTGTCAAGGAATTTATATTCTAAAGAGAAGGAAATTGAAGTCTAGAGAAATAAAGACACTTGCCCAAGATCATGCAGTCACTCTGGGCAGATCTGCTATTAGAACTTTGGTCTTCTAACTCACAGCCAGCCCCTGTATTCTTTCATACCATCTTTGTCTTATTACATAAAAATGTTGTCATTAGTTTTTCAAAGAATGTGTAGTTGGCCTCTGTACAATTTATTTAAATTGGACTCATCTACAGATAAGGCTAGGGGAGCTAGCTGGCAGACAAATGGAATGCCGGCCCTGAAGCCAGGAAGACTCATCTTTCTGAGTTCAAAGCTTACTAGCTGTGGGACCCTGGGTGAGTCACTTAATCCTGTTTGCCTCATCTATAAAATGAGCTGGAGATGGAGATGGCAAACCACTCCAGTATCTCTGCCAAGAAAATCCCAAATGAATCAGCCAGGACTGAAACAACTGAATAATAGCAATGGACAAGGCTGAGAGGCAGCATAGCATAGTGGTAGAGACTAGACCTTGGAGTCAGGAAGACTTGGGTCCTGGTCCTTTCTGACACATATAGGCTGTCAGATCCTGGGGAAATCATTGACTATCTATGCCTCACACAACTCTCAAAGACTCTAAGTTGTGGAACAATTGTTGACCTTCATTGGTAGAAGGAATCCTTTCTCCAGGAGTTCCCTCTACCAATGAAATAAGAGGTCTGAGCAAAACCAAAGAATGTATATTCAGAGCACTGTGCTAGATGCTGCAACTGTAGTATTTATATAGTCTTATCTCTGTGCTGACTAAATATTTGCTATGCCTGTATTTGTTCTCATTCAGTTGTTTCAGTCATGTCTGACTCTTCATGACCCTATTTGTAAGATTCAGCTTTCACTTGCAGGAGCACCAGTCATCAGAAGCAGAGGAAGAATGCTAGAGGAACTCTGGACCTGGACATAGCAGAAGGCCCTAGAACTTGCATGCTTCCTCCAGTCTCTGTTGTCTTATTGATAGTTTCAACTTCTGACCAGCTTGAGCCTCTTAACACATTCGAGAACAAGGTGAGTGAACTCAGCAGCCAATCCCCACCATGAGCAGTGGTCCCTTGTTCATCAGTACTGACTGGAAGGAATAGAGTGAGAGACCAATTTTCCCAAATTTCAGGCAATTTTGAAAATAAGTTTGGAGCATGGTTAACTAGCACCCTATAGGGTTAGAAGAATCAATGCACATCTGCAATTGTACCCACCCTTGATTTCAGAGAATAGCTTTTCTGTTAGAAGGATCCAGGTCAGTGTATTTGTGTGTGTATGTGTGTGTGTATGCCTATATGTGTGTGTGTGTGTGTGTATGTATGTGTGTGTATACACTCATACACACATATAAGCACACACACAAATATATATGCATCTGTAACAAATAATTAGATTAGTTAATTGGCTATTTTAATATATATTGTTGCTCAAGTTGTTTTTCAGTTGTGTCCAATTTTTTATTACCCTACTAGGGATTTTCCTGGCAGAGATACTGAAGTGGTTAGTTTTCCATTTCCTTCTCTAGCTCATTTTACAGACAAGGAAACTGAGGCAAAGAGGGTTAAGTGACTTGCCCACAGTCACACAGATAGTTAGCATCTGAGACCAGATTTGACCTCAGGAAGGTAGGTATTTCTGACAGGCCACTACACCAACTAGCTGTCCCATTTTAACCTATCGTAAATATAATAACAGGATGGGTCCTCTGAGTCCCAAAGTTAATTGGCTAAGTTTCTTGTTTTACTTTCTTAATGGCAACATCTAAGCCTAAAGTAGCAATGTGGCCATCCACAAAAAAATACAAAATACTTCATACTTACTCTTGGAAGTACACTGCAGGGCTTGAAGCCCAGATCGGTCATCCCTGGAGACTGGGAAAATGTGCATCTAACCCTTGAGGCTTCAAGGAGCTGTGTCAAATGGATCCAGACCAAAGGATACCAGTTGGGGATTCCCTTCCCACAGGTTCTCTTAAAAGTTGGAGAATAATCAGTTCCTCGATGGAGCCAAAGTCCTGGCTGTGGTAGCATTCCACTGACAAAATCAGCCAACCCAGACTGGAAATAATGGAGAAGAGTAAGTTATGAGAACCTCACATTTTCTCTCTGTTGCTCTATCCACCATTTATCCTTCCTCTCAAATTGGCCATTGGATTGGTTTGGAAGTCAAGCATTGGGCCATGGGTTAGAATTCCAGCTCTCAAACCTGGGTTATTATGCCAGCTCTGAATATGTATCTTCAAACACCGTCCCAACCAGTACCACCACCACCACCATAGAATGTAAGTTCCTAAAGGACACTTGTCGGACCACATCACCTCTGAGCCTCAGTTTTTTCTTCTGTAAAATGGGGATAATAATACTTGCTCCTGTTGCGATTATAAAACAAAATAAACTTTAAAGTTCTACATAAAGGGAAACAATTTATTATTAGGAGTTCATGAGAAACATGGCCATTTAGGTTTGAACCCGATGGGAATTGGTGCTTTTTTTAAAGCTTGGAAATCCATAGGATCAAACATATCAATGAAAACCCTAGTGAATATACAAGATCATATGGTGATAATCTGATTGAAAAATTTGTTCCTATTTGGCAAAAGCAGCCATATATCTAAGCTTTTGACTACTCTACAGCTTGGCCTCTAAGGCACACACTTTTCATTCATTTTGCCCCTCCAAAAATAAATCTGGAGAAATTGTAAGGGGACCCAGAATATCTTAACCTTCAATTCTGGCTGTTTTAAGTGTCATTGTACACATCTACTAACTGGCTTTTGGACTGAAGTTTCTTTGCTATAACTTCTCCTCCATCTCCTTTTGCCTTCTCATTCATTGTGTTCACTACTAGGGGATAAATAAGCAATAATGACCTCAATGCAGGGCATTTCCTGTGGGTTAATGAGTAGCTGGGAGGGAGTTGTTGGCCTGAGGTGCAGCTGTAGGCTGTAAACCCCAGTTTGCTATTAATCCCCAGGAGCTGGACTGTTCTGAGTTCATTATTGTTATTACAAATTCATTATTGTTATTACATTCATTATTCATTATTATTATTACAATTTTTTTTAATGTTTGAAAAAGTACCTTGTAGAACTTTTTAGTATGTTTGTCATGATGTCTGGTTCCTCAGGTAGTTGCATTTAGAACTTGCACTGGGGGCTACAGGAGCCCTTTCCCAGTCATAGTGACAAAAGCGAAGGGGTCTGCTAATACCTAACATTATGTCTAACTTTGAGCAATAAATAATTCTTAGATACGCATTGCAGGTGAAAGAATTTAGTCAGGTTCTTTTACGATTGGTAGGTAGCCTTGTAAATTGGAGCTGTGTGGTCTGTTTTGGAGGGCTGTACACAGAAATAAGGCAATTAACACTATGCTGTTATTCAGCAATCTTTAATTTAATTGTGTAATAGAATGTATAGCAGCTAGATTGTGCACTGGAGAGAGTGCAGAATTTGGTGTCAGGAAGTCCTAAGACTCATTTCAAATCTTGCCTCAGACACTTATTAGCAGTCTGGCTGTAGGCCAGTCATTTGCTCTACCTTGAATGGAGATAGTAGTAGCATCTACCTTTCAGGATTTTTGTGAGGATCAAATGAGTTAACATATGTAAAGCTCTTTGCAAACCTTTTTGAAAAAAAGTGTTATGTAAATGCTGGGGTATACAGGGTGTTCAGAGAGGACTAGCCCTCTGGTGTGAGAGCTCTCTGAGTCCTTTTCAGGGCTGCTCATCTACCTTTGGCATCTATCACCCAAATCTCACTTGTGGCTTCAAGAAGCTACACACTCTGATAAAACTACCTTGGCAGATGGGCTAAACCAGGTTGAGGTTAACAGACAGGCCTCAAACCCATTGGTGAGTTAGGGTGATGTCTACCCCATGCATGTAAAGATTTCCCTGGTCGTATGGGGCAATGAGAACAATTTGTCCCAAAAGCCATGAAGGTGCTGAAGAAGAAGCTGTGGAGCACTTAGAGCTTGGTCAGACATCTAAGGCATCAAGAGCATCTACTACATCCTGAACCACCAACAATTGTCTTGACCATTGTATTCTTATGATTTTGGAAGAGATACTGAGGCTGGCCACTTTGTACAGCTCTCCCTCACTTAAATCCAGTGACTTCATTGGTCCTCTTTGAGAATTGAAAACAAACAACAACAATATAAATGCTACTACCATATGTAGCAGCCTCAGCCTCCACAGCAGCAGCCTCAGCAGCAGCAGAAGTAGCTCAGTACCCTCAGTAGCCTCAGAATCCTCAGCAGCTCCAGCAGCAGCAGCAGGCACTTACTAGCTATTTAACTCTGAACAAGTCACTGAATCACTGTCTGCTTCAGTTTCTTCAACTGAAAAATGGGGATAATATTAGCACTTACCTTTCTAGGATATAGTGAAGAACACATGAGATAATAATTGCAATGCTGTGTTAAGACACAGTGTGTTGAAACACAGTGCCAAGGATGTAGTAGGCACTTAATAGATATTGTTCCCTTCCTCTCTCCCTCTTCCGTCCTCCCCTTCAAGGCAATGTGATATAGTGGAAAGAGTGGTGGACAGAGTCTGGAAAGAGCAGAGTGTGAATACTGCCTTTTATGTCAACTGTCTTTTCACCAAGCCTCAGTATCCTTGCATGTAATACAGAGATTATGATACCTGTAGGAACCACCTCAAAGGGTTATTGTGAAGATCAGAAGACAGAATGTAGACACCAGTCTATCAATGAACATCTATTATGCTTTTCCTGCATGTCAGGCACTATGCTAGGCACTGGAGATTCATTGAAAGAACGAAACAATCCCAACCCGCATGAAGTTTGCATTCTAATGGAAAGGTAAGCATCCATAGAAGAAATATAAAGGGAATAAATTCAACTGAATGCAAAATAGTCAAATACAAGTTAGTTTGGGAGGGCAGGCACTAGCAGCACTTAACAAGCCTTTAAGAGCTATAAATAAACATCTGTTGTTATTATGAAATCTCCAAGTCTTCCATTTGAAAATAGTCTTCACTTTGCCATAACCACTTAGACAGGCAGGCCCAGCACATTGCCTGAGGGGCTGCTGCCATGGAATTTTAAAAAATTAAGGTAAACACCTTTGAATATTTAATCAAAAGGATATTATTTTTATTCATCAAACAAAAGAAATATTTCACTAAATTTAATTTTTAAAAATTAACTGAAATTTACTTAAAAGGCAAACATAATAAATGAGATACAAGATACCCATTTTTTGAGATATTAGATATAGGATGCTCAAGAACACCTTCCACCCCTCATACCAGGGGCTGGGAGCCTGGCTTTGAAGCCATGTATAGTCCTCTAGGTCCTTGGGTGCAGACTTTTGACCGAACCCAAGTTTTAGAGACTGAATCCTTTTATTAAAGGGATTTGTTCTGTGAAGTATAGGGCCTGTACTGTGCCCCTTTTCTATATTGTGCTGCAACCACAAGCTGATTTGTCATTTTAATAAAAGTTGTACCAAAAATATTGGTTCCAAAATGTGATTGTAAAACAGATCCAAAATGTTTATATGGAAATATAGTCATTCAAAACACCATCCACCTACTATAACTTTGTCTAAGAGCAAGCTTCCCCCAAAGCAAGTCCATTCTCATACATCAATTAATTTTCTAGTTATCCATTGACATTTCCACTCAAATATTACTCATGGTGGCATAAAGGTGACCTTTAGTTATCAAAGACCAACCCTACAGATTTTAAGTTCTGGCAGAATCTATAGAATTAAACACGCTTTCAGTACTGTCTGTTGACCTACTATCTGTCTGCTACTTAAATTAACCCCTTGCTAAGTTTGGAGAGATCCATCACTAAAACATTAGTCACTAATTTTTTTGTTTGTTTGTTTTTTCTTTTCCCACATAAACTCAGATAGACCTTCTGGAGTGTGATGGAGCCAACTCTTATCAGCTTTCAAGAGCCATCGTTAAATTTTCAGCGTGAGCATTTACACCTCAAAAATCAGCAAAGACTTGGGGATCAGGACTTGGTTTATTATTTTGTTGATTATCTAGACTTAAGAAAATATGGAGAAAATGTTAATAATCCAGAACTTAAAAGTTTGGCCTGTTTTGTTTTTGTTTTTTCCTGCAGAAAGCCAGCTAAACATTTACCAGAACACCCCTCGTTATGTTGCCATTTGTCAGGAGAGGGAGAACCCAAATTCATGAAATTATAAATACTTGTTTTATATGAATTAATGTCAGAGTTATAAGCCCAAACTTACTACCTCATATTTCATATCTTTTCAGTCTTACTACTTTTGGCTGAAAAGTTACATGAGAATCAGATTTAAACGGCTTTAAAGGTGAACAGAGGAGTTTGTATTTTTTTCCTAGAGGAAATAGGGAGTCATATATTCTTGAATATAAATGTTTTCTGGTCAGATCAGTATTCTAGAAATAGTGTTGTGTGGAGGATAGATTGAAGAGAAAAGAATGGAGTTGTGTGGAGGATAGATTGAAGAGAAAAGAATGGAGACAGGATGCTGAATTAGGAGGCTATTTCAATAGTATAACAGTGGGGTGATGCCTGATGTAGGGTAGAAGCTGTTCAAAGTGTTAAGGGAACAAATGAAAGAAATGTTCCCTACATAGAATCTATAAGACTTTGCAATGATAGAATGTGGAGGACTGACTCTAAAGTTGTGAATCAGAGTGCCTAGAAAGCTAATGGTGTCACCAACAGAATTAGGAAAGTTAAGTGGATAGATTGGTTCATGGAGAAAATAGAGAGAATTGTTTTAAAAATGTAGAAATGTTGAGTTTCAGATGCCTATAGCAGATCCTGGTGAAGTCAAGGAGATAGTTGGTTATGCGGGGCATGAGTTCAGGAAAAAAGACTAGGACTAAATATAGAGGTCAGATAATAATATGCATAGAGCTGATCATTGAACCCATGGGAGCTAATGCAAATACCAAGAAAGTGAAGAAAGAGAAAGCAGAGAATAGGATCCAGGTCAAAGCTTTAGGCGATGCCCATATTCAGAGGACAGGAGGAAGATGATGATGATGGGCAGGCAAAGAAAACTGAAAAGAAACAGATACGTATATTGGAACAAAGTAAGAGCAGTGTCAGAACAGCCAAGAGAGAAAGGTAACCAAACAAAGGGGATGGTCAACAGTGTCAAAAACTAAAGAGAGTTCAAAAGGATAAAGATGGTGAAAAGTCTATTGGATTTAGAAGATAATTGATTACCTTGGGGAAATAAATTTATATTAAATGGTAGGGTCAGAAACAATATTTCAAAGCTTTGGAAAATTAGTAAATGGAGGAAATATGTGTAAATAAATACTTTCTAGGAGTTTGGCAGTGAAAAGGAAAAGAGAAATAAGATGATAGCTTGAAGAAATGGCAAAGGGTATTGTTTGGTTGTTTGGATTTTTTAAGGAGACAAAAGACCCAGATAAATTAGTAGGTAGAGAGATGGATTCACCAGATCTGAAGAGATTGGAGATGAAAGACAGAAGATTATCAAGAGGGCCAAATACCAAAAGAAACAGGAAAGCTCAGGATCAAGAAAATAAGTGGAAGAAGGAGTAACTTCGGCAAGGTTAAGGTCTACTTTTTCAACTGAAACTACGCAAAAGAAGAGGATCAGGGATGGTGAAAGAGGGTTTCCAGTTTAGGAATGGGGGAATTGTGTTGGGAAGAGGGAAGACATGATGAATGGCCTCTGTTTTCTCAATAAAGTAGGAAGTTTGATCCTCTGCTCATAGGAAGGGTGGAAGAGGTGATATAGGAGGCCTGAAGAGATAGATAATTTGGAAGAGTATGATGAGAGTCAATTGGGAAAGAATAAAACAGTTGTCATATAACAATGAGGTCCCAGTCCAGATTAGATAATATAAACCCAATCTTCAGAGTAGTGGCCTTTCTCAATTCTCAATTCTCTTTGACCTCTCTGTAGCCTTTGACACTGTTGATCACTTTCTCCTCCTTGACACTCTCTTCTTTCTAGGTTTTCAGGACACCATTCTCTCTTGGTTCTCCTCCTATCTATCTGACTCCTCCTTTTCTGTCTCCTTTTCTGGACCCTCCTCTAGCCTCTCAATCCCCTCCCTCTCCCAGATCTCATATTTCATATCATCTTCTCCCTTCCCCTTCCGTTTTATCCTCTGGACTCTTCTCTCCATTGTTAGTGAAACTAACTGCAGATGTCCCTCAAGGTTCTGTCCTGGGTCTTCTTCTCTTCTCCCTCTATACTTCACTTGTTGATTTTATCAGCTCCCTTAGATTTAATTACCATCTTTATGCTGATGATTCTTGAATCTACCTTTCCTGCCCCAACCTCTCAGCAGACCTCTAATCTTGCATCTCCAACTGCCTTTCAGGTAACTCAAACTAGGTGTTCAATGGACATTTTAAACTCAACGTATCAAAAAAAAACTCCTTATCTTTTCCCTTAAACTCCTACCCTCCATCTTTCCTATTACTGTAAAGGGCAACTATCCTCCCCGTCACTCAGGCAGGCAACCTAGGAGCCATCCTCAATTCTTCACCATCTCTCATCCCACACATTCAATTCTTTGCCACAGCCTATCAATTTTACCTATGCAACATCTCTTACAAATGCTCTCTTCTCTCCTCTGAGGCTGCCACCCATCACTCTACCCACCTCATCACCTTGTGCCTAGATTAAAGACATACTAATATCTGGATGTAGGTAGTGTGACCATGGAGGTAATAAGATACGTGACAGTTGATAAAACAGGAATCCAAAGTGTTTGAGGGGTCATCAACATGTATGTTGAAGTCCCCAAATACAAGGGAAATCATTGGAGTAGCAAGAAAGGTAAAGAGAGGAGCCAGGCATTGACTTTTTGAGAAAGAAGGGAGAATAATTTGGAGATCAGCATAGAAATTCAACAAGAAGTCAGACTGGATGCTTAGATGTATATAGCGATACGCATTTAAGGGATAGTGACATTAAAGATGATAAAGACATATCTAGAGACAGAAGTGAAGAACAAGGAGTGTGATTGATCCAATGCTTTCAGGGGTATGAGAAAAGGAGCACCCAATGTTAGAGCAGACATCTCATGTCTTTTAGGGAGATGCAAATTTTCATTGCTACAAGAATATGGGAAAATGAAAGTGCAAAGATTCAGGATAAAGAGGAATTTATTAGCAATGGAGAGAAGATTCCAGAGGATATAACAGAAGTGGGAGAGAGAAGATTATGAAACGCAAGACCTGAGAGAGGGAAAGGATTGAAAGGGTTTCGCCTTAGCAGACACTAACTGCAACAAAGGGCATGTGGGAAACTAGAGCACAGTGTGACTCTCGACTCATTGTTTCTGACTTCCAACACAACCATGCAACCACAGCCATATGCATAGTGTGTTAGGAGCCTTGAGAAAGTGAATTGGGAGGAGAAAGACTGATGGAAAGGTAAGAGGTTGTGGTCAAAAAGAAGAGCTTCAGAGTTCTTTCAATCAATACTCCCTCTACTTAATATTCAATACTCAAACTCCCTCTATATTAATAGATCTCTGTCTAGAGAGATGGCCCCCACTCTCAAGAAGGGCCTATCAAAAATGTCCAAGTAAAAAAATACGTAAGGAGAAAAACATCCAGTAGGATGTATATCTTCAAAGTTTCTCCAGCAAATCTGACTTTGGCCCGTGGTCTTAGATCACGGTCAATTGTAATGTACTGTATTCTTTAGGAACCCTGTAGTTTAAGCTCACATTATTATAACATGGTTATTTCCATCTAGAACAATTTCTTCCTCCATCCCTCCCCCCAGCCTCACCCCAATATGTCATGCGGAAGTATCCAGGGGGGTTATTCCCTTCTAAAAAGGCCTTTCTGCCTAGCAGGACCCAGTTCTTTTTGAAGGATTCCCACAATGGTTTAAAATACTCAGCGCTACCTGAATACTCTGGAAATCAATTGAGTGGAATTGAGGAGGGTACTGAATACGACAGGGGCTATGTTTTTGCCTGATCTTGTAAAAGAATCTGAACTCTACAATATAAACAGCCTGTGTTCCACTAAGATCCATTTCACCAAAGCATCTGCTTGGATGTTCACTAGTATCTAGTCACCACAGTACCTGATTTCCTTTCCACTAATGATGGATGTAAACAGGCTCTAGGGTTCTGATCCTCTTTGTCTCCATATGGAGACAATGGAATAATCTATTCCAACACAACACATGTACCATTATGTCCCACTCGAATCCGTTATGTTACATGTCAAATTAGAACTCATTTTTAGTATGTTATTATCACTGTTGTGAAAACTCAAACCATATGGAACAGCATACTTTTTTACCCATTTTCAAATTGGACTCAGATATTCAATGAAATTTATTTTATGGAATTAGCTATACCCAGACTCCAGATCAGGATATGATCTTCAATCCTCTTGTAAGAAGGGATGTCTACATTAAAATTTTCATAGGCAATACCTCCCTTTCCCCCCCCCTTTTGTTTAGTTTTGTTTTGTTGTTTATTGGATGATGGAGGCATGAAACAGTATCTTGGCCCCTGCTTCAGCTTCAGTCCCTTCTTTTGTTTGACTCTCATCAGGTACATTTTGTGCCCTGTCCCTGGAGAGGCATTCAAATTTACAGTTTTCCAAGAGGTGAAAGATGGAGATGGAGGCCGTGCCAAAGTAGGAATCCTGGGAATGATATTCTGGGGATTGTTTCCTTAGTTATAAATAACTTTCTTTCTCAGTGAAGGAAAACAAAAAGACGTGAGAAGACCTAAGATTTAAGAGTCCCCCCCAACCCCCAAAGGTACAGAAATAGGACGCTCTTTTTGTTTTATTTTGTTGTTGTTCCTGGGCTCTACGGGCATGTGGGATAAAGCTGTGGAGTCTTTGGCTGCCCTTCCATGGTTTCTGTTGTTTTCGGGGGCTCAGTGGGATAGATAGTTTATGCTGTGACAGGACATGCCAACAAATTGCATCACTTCTGCCTCGGTGACCGAGGACAATGACATGCCATATGCCAATGGCAGGAAATGAATGGGGCTCATTTACACTGGCA